CATACGTCACGTATGAAAACGCGCGATATTCAGCCGGAAAGATGGCATCCAATTCCCGAATTCGTGGATCCAATCGAATGATGTTCCGGGCCTCGCTTCAAATAGCGAGAAAATAGAGACGATTATCGCGCAAAAATGGCCCCTTAATTGAAAATGGGCGCTTTCAATTAAATGTTACATTACGTATTCCATTATCAACTTCATTATTATTTAATAATGAAGTTCGATCGATTGAAAATTAATTTGAACGAGGCGAATACGTTACACGAAATAAATAAAATATAATGTTGGCAGAGATATTTGTCACGACATAATTTGTCATAATTTGTTTTTAAAATAAAATGTAATTGTTTAATTGTTGCAGAACAAACAACAATTTTTCTACTTTTCCCTGTATGGATCGAGTTACGAATTATCGATTATATTGATTAAATTATTCACTCGAGGGAAAAATAATTTGCCAATTTTCTTATATATATTCTTCGAGTAATTCTTGGAACAAATAAGAGAGAGAGAGAGAAGGAGAGGAGGAGGAAACGAAATGGAGCAATCTGTGCTATTTTATTTTGTATATATCTATCTATAACTCTCATTTCGCTCTTATATTTTTAACAAAAAACTGTACTGTATTTACAATAGGCATTGTCTTTTACATTTCCTTTATCCGAACTTTTATTGCACATTTCCCCACGGTGAATCGCTCTTTTGTTCCTTTTCTCTCCTATTCCTCCACCTCCCCCTTTTTTCACTATGGTGCAAATTTTCTATTTTTTCGTATCGAAAATGATCGATACGAGAAAAACGACAGAGAAAGTTTGTACAATACAATAGCGTGCGCGCGATGTTGATGAAGGTATAGGGGTGCGCTCCTTTCGAAATCGATTTCTCGATAAGCGAAAATTGTCGAAACATCGTGATATTTTTTTATCGCGGTTCAGTGATCAGATTCATTTGAAAAATTAAACGCCAATTAAACTAATTGGCTAATTTTATTAAATTTATTCTGTGTGAAAAAGTAAGGATTCAGAATTCAGAATTCAGAAAAGGAAAATATTCTATTTTGAAAAATACGAATGAATATTATATTCTGTCTAAATTAGTATCGTTGCAGTGGAGGATTCATAAATCGATTAGTGAAAAAATCTTTTTATCATTCAAATTTTTGACAAATCAATTAAATAACTATCTCGATATTTTAGTATCAACTCGATGGATTTAAATAATTTTTAAATAAATGTGATTTACATTAATTATCTTCTGAATCCTTCATATACCAAAATTAAATTTTCTCCAATTATTTATTATAATTTTATTAAATATTCCAAAATTTTGTTTTCTTATTAATCTTATTAAATATAAAATTTCAATTTTGTTTTCCAATTGTATGAATTATCGAAAAAGAACGAATCTTTTATTAATTAAAAAAAGACGAGAGATCATCCATAATAACCATAAGACACGTTTTTAAAATCATTATCATCATTATAATAAGCAGAATAATATCTTGGTAATTTTAATCGATATTATTATAATCTTACTCATTAAAAATTTTGTTTTCCAATTGTATAAGTTATCAAGAATCTTTTATTTATTAAAAAAACATAAAAGATCATCCACAGAACGTTTTTTTCTTTTTTTTTTTAACAACCATCATCATCATAATAGGCAGAATAATGCAATAGTAATTTTAATCGAGTTATTAATCGATTATTACTGTAATCTTACTCACTAAAAATTTTGTTTTCCAATTGTACAAATTATCGAGAAGGAATCTTTTATTTATTAAAAAAACATAAAAGATCATCCATAAAACGTTTTTTTTTTTTTAACAATCATCATCATAAATGGTAAAATAATACCTTGGTAATTTTAATCGAGTCGTTAATCGATTATTACTGTAATCTTATTCATTAAAAATTTTGTTTTCCAATTGTACAAGTTATCGAGAAAGAACGAATCTTTTATTTATTAAAAAAACATAAAAGATCATCCGTAGAACGTTTTTTTCTTTTTTTTTTTTAACAACCTTCATCATCATAATAGGCAGAATAATGCAATATTTATATATTATAATTTTAATCGAGTTATTAATCGATTATTACTGTAATCTTACTCACTAAAAATTTTGTTTTCCAATTGTACAAGTTATCGAGAAGGAACGAATCTTTTATTTATTAAAAAAACATAAAAGATCATCCATAGAACGTTTTTTTCTTTTTTTTTTTTAACAACCTTCATCATCATAATAGGCAGAATAATGCAATATTTATATATTATAATTTTAATCGAGTTATTAATCGATTATTACTGTAATCTTACTCACTAAAAATTTTGTTTTCCAATTGTACAAGTTATCGAGAAGGAACGAATCTTTTATTTATTAAAAAAACATAAAAGATCATCCATAGAACGTTTTTTTCTTTTTTTTTTTTTAACAACCTTCATCATCATAATAGGCAGAATAATGGGGTGGTAATTTTAATCGAGTCGTTAATCGAGCATCGTTCAACGTGATTAATCGGACGCGAGAATCGGTTTCTGGGCTCGGAACAGGTGAATTAATTCAATAACAACGCCGGGTTCCACGTTGCATAATTCCCGCGCATCGTTAATTGCTATTCGTAATTCCGTAAATATGTAATCCACCCCGGGGGGGCCCCGTTTCCTTATTACGAATTCGTAATGCAAAATTGGTGCGACGAACCGTGTAACGCGATCGCTCCACGCAATTGCGTGTTCCAATGACTTCGCATTATGACAATCAATCGCTCGTTTTCGTCCTTGCTTCGTTGCAACCGTGCTCGATGTGCAACGAACGCCCTTCAATTAGAATTAATTCGAACACGGCGACATAATCTATTCGTAATCTATTAATACAATGGGCTGTGCACACGGCTGTGTATTGTACACATACCAATTGCAAAAATTTTCTATCTATCCACACTTTGTAACGTTTGTCGACGTGTTCGATATTGCGCGATACAATCGCTGGAGCATCCCACGTGTCATAAATTTCGTTGCACAATTCGCAATGCATATGAATTGCATATTTTATGACGCGACGAAGCATCCTATCTGATGGCGATGCATCCCCCCACGTTAAAAGTGTAAAAGTGTAAAAGTGTGCATCCGTTCGTGTATTTATGTAAGTACTCGATGATAATCGTCTTATCGTTTCGTTCTACGGCTTATATCGTATATTATGTGCGTATTATTTTGTATACAATACGATTTGTATTAAAGGTAATTGAAAGAGATGGAAAAAGATAAATAAGCGTTGCGTTAGAGAACGAATGAGAAGAATGAAATGAATGTTGTGAAACGTAGAATAAATTTGTAAAAGATTAGGTCGATGAAAGGGAGGAACTAACCAGATGATTTACTATTGAACTTTTCCACGTTGGCATCATGAAAATCCTAACATTTTGAACGAATATAAATACTTTCAAGGGTAACACGCTTCCATAACTTTCAGGGCACCAGTTTGCATTATACTTTTTACAAGTATGCATTATATCCACCTTTTTATTCATTTAATATTTAATAAGAGTTAATATTTTACTTTGCCAAAACGTTGTAGAATTATATTTTACATTTATGAAATAATTCTCTTTCCATCCGAACGATAAAATTTCGTTAATCCCACATAACGTTTTTACGACTGCTACTTTTATCTTTGTAATTTTATTACAATACAGTGAAAAATAATTATATTGATTTCTTTTTCTAACAAAAATTTTTTTTGTATTTATATATATACACTCATACAATTTGTATATATATTTTATTATCGATTTTTTTAAGACTGTCTTCCATTTTGTTATACCTTGTTCAAGAAAATGGCGCTTGCGAAACTTTTATTATTTTCATTGAAATCACAAAATTGCACGAATAATCCGTGAAATTTGAAATATATGACGACATTTCCTACATTACCAACCGTTTCAAGATCATCCGCCATTTCGCGATGTTGTTCAAGAAAATGGCGCCCGACGAGAGAAAGCAATCCTAACCTCAATCTTTACCCGTAAAATGAATTGAAGTTGCATGAAAATATTCATGAAATGTTCATCAAAATATATACGAAATCGATGAGAAATGATCGAATGCATTGGTTTCGAACGAGGGAAACGAACGTCGAAATAATAAATTGAGAATCGGGAGGCTGGATGATTTGCAACGAAACTGTAAGCGTTATATCGGGATTGTTTAATATTCCATTAACGAGAACGAGGGGAGGGGAAAAAAATCTAGCGAGATCGGTGAACGAAATATGCCACGGCCCTTTTCTATCGTAATCCACGCGCGAACTGGCGAAAGGAGAAAATATCCGATTAATCGGGAATCGAATTCGCCGGATACGCCGCGAAATCCGATTAATTTCCCATCTCCTGCATTATTCCCGCCGATTTCGACCGTTTTTACCACGCGAGAGCACAATCTCTCGTGTTGTTTTCGAATAAATTTCACGCAATCGTTCGCCGATTCTCTTTTGAATTCTTTCAAGGTGAATATTCTGCGCGATGTAATAAAAAATTTGAAACTTTGTTTTGTTTGATTTCTGCTTCCTCTCTTTTCTTTCTTTCTTTCTTTCTTTTTTTTTTCTTTTCCTTTCTCTTCTTTCGAAAAACGTTCGATGAATTTTTAGAATATTCTTTTCTAATATTTTTTGAGATAGAAGTTTTCTTCTATTCTTCAGAAGTAAATAATAATTCACGTTCGTAATTCGAAATTTTTAAAGTTCTAGAAATTGGATACGGTTTTGATAAAATTTGTTAAAATAAATGCTTCAAAATTCTACGATTTTTTTTTTTGGTGAGATATTTCCTAATTTTCTCAGAGATGAAAATTCTATGAATAACGGTGAAAGAAAATAGAATCAATAGAACGCATAAATTATTGAATCTTACGTTGATAAGCGGTAAAACATGTCCAATTATCGTTTTCCAATTAAGGTAAACGAGAAATTAATCGATGTAGAAACAGAAGTCATAACTTACCTGATAGAGTACGTCTAAGGAAATTGGGTAAACCATCTGCTCGACGATGACTCTGAGAACGGTATTGGGCCCCCCTTGGGTCTCTGCTTGTGTCTGAGCCACCTGATTCTGTCCAGGAAGCGCGACTTGGTTGTTCGAGTTCTATAACAGAAAAAAAGAAAACAAATTAATCATTTGTTCTTTGAAAAAAAAAAAAAAAATATTCTGAGAAAAAAAAGAAAGAAATATTACATTTATTTTTAAAAATAGTATCATCGCCTTGTTGTTCGTTTCATCGAATTCACGAAACGTTATAAAAGTTGTGAATTCGTATAAGAATCCCAATCAATATCTTCAACTCAACTGAGATAACAACTTCATTATCAATTTAAATTAAAAGCACAAATATACCGCTTCGCAGATTTTCAATTTCCCATCCAAATATAAAATAAACACAATTACTACGAATCCAAATAAAAAAAAATAAAAAAAAAAAATGAATGAAAGAAAAATAAACCGTTTCAAATTGCATAAAAAACCCAAATTCATATAAAATTAATAAGTTAATAACTTTACTCTATTGTATTGTTATAAAATTTTTAATAAAACGCAAATATTAATATTAATATACATTCCTATAAATTTGATAAAAAGAATTTGAATTTTCTGAATGTTGAATTGTTAATACAGTCTTCGAGTTATCGAATAAAACTCTATCGCCAGATGTCGCCGTGTGCACAAACTTCATTCGCAGTTTGTGATTAGCATAAAATGGTAAAAAGAAACGCGGCACAACGGACCTATATTACGATTTTTAATCAACGAGAACGAAACAAGTAGAAAATCGTACATTTTTCAAACGATACACGATTGATACAAGTATTTTCACGATACAACCACGTAATTTTCAAACCGTTCCCCGTTTGGGCAAACACATTTTTCCAGATTATCCGCCGATAAGATAAAAAAAAAAAAAAAAAAAAAAAAAAAAAGAAAAAAAAATGTGGAGTTCATGCGTCACGGGAGTGTATTTTCATCCATTTGCGTCATCCCTGTCCAAATAAAAGTAAACACGTTGTGTACACCGAAAAGTAAAACACACATGGCAATTACTTCGATTCTGCACAACCCATTCGAAGGAAGGCACGACGAGAAATGTTTGAAAAATGAAAGATCAATAATGGTGGTACAAAAAATTAAAGCATACGTTTTTATATAGGAGAATTAGAGATAAACGAAATTACCATTTTAATTAAATGGTATTCCAGTTGCGTTTAATTAAATATATCCGCGTATGTGACGACAGAAAATCGATGTACGACGTAAGATGAAATTGGCGTGGAATTCGTCGTGGTTTTTCCATTATATGTATTCCAATCCTACTATTCGATATTCTATTATAATCCGTTAACGGATCGAACGTGAGTTACATATTTAACTCACGCTCTATTTAATCGAAAGATTCCGCGAATTAAATCCAATTCACATCCAATCGACTGGACCCTACGCTCTACGAGCTATTTCACATGTGCAACGTGAAGTAACGTTGTTGTATATAAGTCACGAGTGCAAATTGTAGGGGAAAAATCACATGTATTTGAATATTCCTCAAAATTTGTCGAATCGATAAAAAAAATATAACATCCTTCGATCTTCGTAAAAAATTCATGTATATATTAAAGCTAGGAAGTATCGCGACTCGAAGTTTTACGGTCTAAAATAAAATTTCACTCTTTGGATCATAATTTTATAAAGTGGATACGATCGATATCTTATAAACGAATTCTATGATTCGAAGAATCTGAAGAGGTGTTATTATATTAAGGAAATTTTTGAAGCTTTTAATCGTGAATTGCTTTCGAGAATTG